TTTGTACATTACTTGAAGTATAAGCTATTGGAATATTTAAATTAACAGTAGTCAACTTAGCTGGTTTTTTAAAAAGTTGTAAGCTTAATAACAGGATTAGATTTGATTCATTGTAGCAGGGGGTAGAGAAGATGGCATTAGCCACATTAACTTCTAGCATGATCCTTGCTCAAAGTTGCTTTGTTGTTGTTTTACAAACATTTCTTCCAGTAATTACTAAATTTAATGTCTATGTATATTCTGTGGTATCATAAAAATAACATAATTATGGTCCAATTTAGGTCAAAATTCTTAAGCATGACCTGAACACATTAATTTAAGAATGAAAATATGTCTTGTGTAAACTCTTGGACCTCAGAATGACACCTCAATCCACTGTTTGGACTCTAGAGGTCACATGAAGGGGCAGGTGGATAAACGTGAGGTTTCCAGAGTACATTCTGAAGCTGGAGGGATGCTCAGCAATTACCCAAGAAATACTGAAAATATCCTCAAACCACCTTGTTTCCTCAAGTTTCTTTGAGTATATACACAAATTATTAAAAACAATACTCTTGGAAAGGCTCAGAAGCCATGCAGTAATTGCCTAAGTGTCATAAAAAATAGGAAGACTAAACATTCTTGAAAGCCTCAGGCATACTGAATTTGTCATTAACAAAACATTTGAATTCATGAGGACCAAAGGCTGAAGAAAAAGAAAGGGAGGCTATCCTGTCACTACTTAAGTTGAAATTACAAAGGCCATATATATTTCAATTTTCCACTGCTGAATTACAATAACATAAACAGTGTTAAGAATGTCAGTTTGGTGCTCGCTTCGGCAGCACATATACTAAAATTGGAACGATACAGAGAAGATTAGCATGGCCCCTGCGCAAGGATGACACGCAAATTTGTGAAGCGTTCCATATTTTTAAAGAGGAAGTTTTTATAATCTAAAAAAAAAAAAGAATGTCAGTTTGATCTGCATTATAAAATGAATAAGACATAAAAATACTCTTCTGAAACAAAACTTTTTAAATTCAGATTTTTCTGAAGCAGCTTCAATATTTTAAAAATGGTATTTTGCCACAGATATGAACCTTATGAATGCCTAAACACAATTAGAATTTATATATCTATTACAAAATGTCCCCTTTTTATTGATAATTATTTTACTACAAAAATTGTTGGGGTTTTTCCTTAAAAAACATAAATCCTACTGTTAGCTTTTATTAAGAAAATTATCCAGCACATGGTGAAAGGGGCAATAAATTATAAAAAAAATTATCTATAAACATTACATAATTACACCACCCAAAACTTTCTAATCTGTTTGATTTATAAAGTCACCTTCAAGTTTTTAAAAATTATTTTGCCTATTTTCTATGGTAGATAATAAAAAACTGAATATAAGTAAAATATTTTATTTTACATTAGCATATCAATAACAAATACAAATAACATTTACCTAAGATAATTTTAAATGTTAATATCTGATTATTTATATATATAACTTTTACATATATAGTATATTTATATACTATATATGTAAATACTGTAATATAAATACATTTATGTTTATATAAATGTCCTATATATAATTTTATATTATAAATATAAATATGTAAATACATTTACATATGCATATATTTATTATTTATATATTTATATTACAATATAATTTATATGAAATTTATATATAAATTTATTTTATATTTATATTATAAATATATACATTTACTTATATATGCATATTTTTAGATATAAAATATGTCTATATAAATATATAAAATAAAATATTATTTTATAACAATATAAATTTAGGCTTCTCTCTATTCAGAAAAAAATGCTGCTTTTCTTTAAATTATGTAAGATGAAGACTATTTTGTCAAAAATAATATTTAAAATGAAATATGTTTTATTTCGGGACTGAATGCATGTTAAAAATACATATTAATACATAACCAAAAGTTATGCATCAAAAAGACCAAAATACCTTTCATAACCTTGCAAGTTTAGCATATGCTTTAAAAACTTAATTGGTTTGTATTTTTAGGCTATTTTGAAGATCTTCCCATAAATAAAACATTTCTTAAGAGTACAGTGCTTGTGAAGGGAACGATCCAAGATGGCCGATCGCTAACATCCCGGGATTGCAGCTCTCAGGGAAGGCGCGGAGAACTAGAGGACGCCACACTTTCAGACAAAGTCTGGTCGCTTACGGAGCAGAAGATCCCCCAGTGGTGGAAACACACGAGTCGCCAGCGCGACTCTCATGGTCGGCGCAGCGGTTCCGCCGGCACCTCGGCGCGGCAGCGCTCAGCGCAGAGTAAACGGGACGGTTCCCCTTCTGACCGAGGTTTGGAGCCCCGGGAAGGCAGAGTCGCCTACTACGGAAACAAGAAGGAAACCCGACAGGAGAATCCTGGGCAGAAAAGCACCATCAGTTTTAACGCCGCTGCTCTGGCCCTGGGAACTAACAACCTGGACGTCCACTCAAGAGACCTAATCTGAAAGTTGGTAATTTCAAAGACGACAGGAGGATAAATTTACAATGACGGGAAGAAACCAGCGTAAAAAAGCTGAGAATACTCAAAGTCAGAATGCCTCTCCATCTAAAGATGATCACAGTTCCACATCAACAATGGAACAAGGCTTGATGGAGAACGAGCGCCTCCTGATGACAGAATCACTCTTCAAGGAATGGATAATAACAAACTTCGGTGAGTTAAAAGAACATGTTGTAGCCCAACGTAAAGAAACTAGGAACTTTGACAAAAGGCTTGATGAAATCCTATTGAGAATAGACAACTTAGAGAGGAGTATGAGTGAATTAATGGAACTGAAGAATACAATACAGGAACTCCGAGAAGTATGCACAGGTTTAAACACTCGAATTGTTCAAGCAGAAGAAGGGATATCAGAGGTCAAAATCCAACTTAATGAAATAAAACGTGAAGAAAAGATTAGAGAAAAAAGGATAAAAAGGAATGAGCAAAGTCTCCAAGAAATGTGGGACTATGTGAAAAGACCAAATTTACGTTTGATAGGTGTACCTGAATGCAACCGAGAGAATGAATCCAAGCTGGAAAATACCCTTCAGGATATTATTCAGGAAAATTTTCCTAAACTAGCAAAGCAGGTCAACATTCAACCCCAGGTAATACAGAGAACACCACAAAGATATTCCTCAAGAAGAGCAACCCCAAGGCACATAATCGTTAGATTCACCAGGGTTGAAACGAAGGAGAAAATACTAAGGGCAGCCAGAGAGAAAGGTCATGTTACCCACAAAGGCAAGCCTATCAGACTTACAGCAGATCTCTCGGCAGAAACTCTACAGGCCAGAAGAGAGTGGGGGCCAATATTCAACATCCTCAAAGAACAGAACCTTCAGCCCAGAATTTCATATCCAGCCAAACTAAGCTTCACAACTGAAGGAAAAGTAAAATCTTTTATGAACAAGCAAGAACTCAGAGATTTTATTACCACCAGGCCTGCTTTACAAGAGCTTCTGAAAGAAGCATTACACACAGAAAGAAACAACCAGTATTAGCCTTTCTAAAAATACACCAAAAAGTAAAGAGCACCAACATAAAGAAGAATTTACACCAACGAATGGATAAAACAGCCGGTCAACATCAAATGGCAGTAACCCTAAATTTAAATTGACTAAATTCCCAATCAAAAGACACAGCCAAAACCAACGGCATGTTACATCCAGACCTGTTTCACATGTAAGGATACACAAAGACTCAAAACAAAGGGATGGAGAAAGATTTACCAACCAAATGGAGAGCAAAAATAAATAATAAATAAATAAAAAGCAGGAGTTGCAATTCTTGTATCGGATAAAATAGATTTTAAAGCAACAAAGATATAGTGGTAAAAGGATCATTGCAACAACAAGAGCGAACGATCCTAACACCCAGATAGGAGACTTAGATTCAATGAGACAGAAAATTAATAAGGATATCAAGGACTCGAACTCAGATCCAGAACAAGTAAACTTAATAAATATTTATAGAGCTCTCCACTTCAAATACACAAAATATACATTCTTGTCAATACCACATCACACCTACCCATTAGTTTAAATGAAACACTGATTGGCCATTATTATTACCCAATTTTTTTCAAAATAAAGCAATATTTCCATTTACTCTCCCTCTTTCTCTTCCTCTTTCTTCCTCTCCTTTACTTATTTTTTTTTTCTTTCCCTCTCTCAAAAAAAAAGAAATCAACTTGTAAACCTCTAGATCCAGGTCGGCAATGTCTCTTTCATTGCTTGATTTCCTTTCTTCCCTTCCCTCCCTCCCTCCCCGCTTCCTCCCTTCCTTCCTTCCTTCCTTCCTCCCTACCGTCCTTCTTCCCTTCCTTCCTGCCTTCCTCCCCCCCAAAAAAAAAAAAAAAAAAAAAAAGAGTACAGTGCTTGTTTCTCAATACATGGATGATGTATTATGTTTTTTTCATTGTAACACAAGCTTTTCAAGTTTTTTCCTTGAATAACTATTTAAGAGTATAGCTTCTGGATCTGGTGAATACCAGTTTTTGTATTTTAATTATGAACAAAGCAGAACCGACTGGATAATACTATGACTAAATGGATAAGATTGATTTATTCCAATAACACAACACCAAAGGGGAGTAAACTTTTCCACGGGGGTACAATACATAACCATTTCTTCAGTGTTTTTCCTTGGATTAAAATCATATTATGGACAATGAAATCCTTAACAAATCTCTTGAACCTGTTAACCTATTTTGCAAAATGTACAATTTCAGAAATTTTATATGAATAACATTTTATCTGCAAAAAAGTTATGCTTTTATTTTGACAATTCTTCAGAAATATTTAAGAATTCAGAAACAGAGGTATACCAAAGCAATCTAAAACACTTTTAGCATCTCTCTTTTTATGTAGCAGATATAGAAATCACCATGATTTCTGTATTTTCCTGGGGGGCATCCCTGGTCAATCTAAAATATAATTATAATTTTAGAAAACATCTTAGAGTTTGCTTCAGCAGCAAGTATACTAAAATTAAAACATTTAGAGAAAATTAGCATGATCCCTGCACAACTATGACCCACAAATTAAGAAATAATCATTAAATAGTTATTTAAGAAATAACCATTTCTTCAAATTTTTAAAAGATATGGTTATCTATTTCAATTGGATAACCACATGCAGAAGAATAATGTTGGACCCTTACATTATACCGTATATAAACATTAACTTAAAGGGAATCAAAGCTCCAAACAGACAATCTAAAACTATAAAACTTTTAAAGGAAAATATAGGAGGAGAGATTTATGACATCAAAAGCACAGGCAACAAAAAAAAGTAGATTAGACCACATCAAAATGGAAAACTTTTGTGAAGTAAGCTAAGTAAAATAAGACTAGTCACAAAAGGACAAATACCGTATGATTCCACATGTAAGCTACCTAGAATAACAAATGTATACAACAACAAGTAGAACGGTGGATGCCAGGAGCTGTTGGGAGAGGTGAGTGGGAGCTATTGTTTAATGAGTATGGAGTTCCAGTTCCGAAAGATGAAAAAGTTCTGGAGAGGGATGGTATTGATGCGTGCACAAAAAAGCGAATGTACTTAATGCCACAGAACTGCACACTTAGAAATGGTTAAAGTGGAAATTTTATGTTTTGTATATTTTACCACAATAAAAAAATGAAAAGAAAATCTGTTCTTTTTCTTTTGTTGTTGTTCTCTGTTTAGAATTTGATCTTGAAGAAACAGTTATCAGAAAAGATCTGGTCATTTGATTGATACAGTATTACAGTTGCCTGTGACCAATGACTAATTTTAGCTTAATTATACATAAATTAAAGGGATAACAATATTGTATAATAGACATAGATGAATGTAACTCAATTATAAGGAACTTTGGATTTCATGAAGTGATGAACTTTAAAAAAAACTGATAAAGTCAGCACAAATTTCAGGAACTTATTTTGGTGATATACAGAATTTATGCTAACTCTGCAGATTACACAGAAGGTAAAAAAAAAATCTTATTCCCTTTGTTAAAAGTAGACTAAATATTTCAAGATTAACTTATATTTTAACAGGGAGAAAATAAAATTCCAAGATTGCATGAATTTAGTTTTTTGCAGTAAAGGGTATTAAAATATCTTTATAAACAAATCCACTAAAATTAAGGAAGCTTTTGCCAAATTTTCACATATTTGATCTTTTTTCCTAGACTAAGATATTATAAAGTATAGCAAATAAAATCCATTTTTCTTAAACCTTAAATGACTTGCTATATACATTCAAATTTTATCCCTTACTATATTCTTTAATATTCTGGAATAAACTGACACACTATTCTTTTTTTACTTGAAAACCATACCAAACTGCCCTCTGGTTGTCAAAGGTTTGTTTTTTTTTTTTTGCCTTTCTCTATTTGTATCATTTTATTTTTTCTTAATTTGTTAAATTTTTGAATACTTTATGTTCCAGGATACATGTGCAGAACATGCAGGTTACATAGGTATATGTGTGCCACGATTGTTTGCTGCACATATCAACCTGTTACCTAGGTTTTAAGCCCCACATGTGTTAGCTATATGTCCTGATGCTCTCCATCAGCTTTCTCCGCACTGACGGGCCCCACCCAGTATGTGTTGTTCCCTCCCTGTGTCCACTTATTCTCATTATTCGACTCCCACTTATGAGTGAAAACATGCGTTTTTTTCTGTTCCTGTGTTAGTTTGCTGAGGATGATGGCCTCCAGCTTTATCCATTTCACTGCAAAGGACATGATCTCATTTATTTTTACGACTGCATAGTATACCATGGTGAATATGTACCATGTTTTCTTTATACAATCTATCATAGATGGGCATTTGCTATTGTGACTAGTGCTGCAATAAACATATGTTTGCCTGTGTGCATGTATCTTTATAATACAATAATTTATATTCCTTTGGGTATACAGCCAGTAATGGGATTGCTGGGTCAAATGGCATTTCTGGTTCTAGATCCTTGAGGGATCCCCACATTGTCTTCTAAAGAAGAATTTAATAATAATTTATTTAATAATTTAACCCTAAATTAATGGTTGATTAATTTACATTATATTAATTTACATTCCCACCAACAACATAAAACGTTGTCCCTATTTCTCCACAGCTGCACCAGCATCTGTTGTTTCTTGACTATTTAATAATTGCCATTCTGACTGGCATAAGGTGGTATCTCGTTGTGGTTTTGATTTGCATTTCTCTAATGATCAGTAATGTTGAGCTTTTTAAAAATATATGTTTATTGGCTCGACAAATGTCTTCTTTTGAGAAATGTTTGTTCATATCCTTTTCCCACTTTTTCATGGGGTTGTTTTTTTTCTTGTAAACATGTTTAAATTATTTTAGACTTTTGTCAGATGGGGAGAATGCAAAACTTTTCTCCCATTCTGTATGCTGACTGTATTCTCTGATGATAGTTTGTTTTGCTGTGCAGAAACTCTTTGGTTTAATTAGATCCCATGTGTCAATTTTAGCTTTTGTTGCAATATCCTGAATGGTATTGCCTAGGTTTTCTTCTAGGGTTTTTATGGCTTTGGGTTTTAATTTAAGTCTTAATCCATCTTGAGTTGACTTTTGTATAAGGTGTAAGGAAGGGGTCCAGTTTCAGTTTTCTTCATATGGCTAGCCAGTTTCACCCACACCATTCATTAAATAGAGAATCCTTTCCCAATTGCTTGTTTTTGTCAGGTTTGTCAAAGATCAGATGGTTACAGATGTGTGATGTTATTTTTGAAGTCTCTATTCCATTCCATTGGTCTATATCTCTGTTTTGATAGCAATGCCATGCTGTTTTGGTTACTGTAAACTTGTATAATTGGAAGTAAGGTAGCGTAATGCAACCAGCTTTGTTCATTTTGCTTAGGATTGGGTGGCTTTGTGGGCTCCCTTGTGTTTCCATATGAAATTTAAAGTTGTTTTTTCTAATTCTGTGAAGAATGTCAATGGTAGTTTGATGAGAATAGCATTGAATCTATAAACTTCATTGAGCAGTATGGCCATGGTCACAATATTGATTCTTCCTATCCATAAGGATGGAATGTTTTTCCATTTATTTGTGTCCTCTCTTATTTCCATGAGCGGTGGTTTGTAGTTCTCCTTGAAGAGGTCTTTCACGTTCCGTGTTAGAGGCATTCCTAGGTATTTTATTCTCTTTATAGCAATTGTGAATGGGAGTTCATTCATGATTTGGCTCTCTGCTTGTCTACTGTTGGTGTAAAGAATGCTTGTGATTTTTGCACATTGATTTTTATAACCTGAGACTTTGCTGAAGTTGCTTATCAGTTTAAGAAGCTCTTGGGGTGAGACAATAAGGTTTTCTAGATACAGGATCATGTCATCTGCAAACAGAGACAATTTGACTTCCCCTCTTCCTGTTTGAATACAATTTATTTCTTTCTCTTGTCTGATTGCCCTGGACAGAACTTCCAATACTATGTTGAATGGGAGTGGTGAGAGAGGGCATCCTTGTCTCATACTCGTTTTCAAAGGGAATGCTTCCAATTTTTGCCCATTCAATATGATATTGGCTGTGGGTTTGTCATAAATAGCTCTTATTATTTTGAGATATGTTCCATCAATACCTAGTTTATTGAGAGTTTTTAACATGAAGTGTTGTTGAATTATACCAAAGGCCTTTTCTGCATCTATTGAGATAATCATGTAGTTTTTGTCATTGGTTCTGTTTATGCAATGGATTATGTTTATTGATTTGCATATGTTGAACCAGCCTTGCATCCCAGGGATGAAGCCATCTTGATTGTGGTGGGTAAGCTTTTTAATATGCTGCTAGATTCAGTTTCCCAGTATTTTATTGAGAATTTTTACCTCTATGCTTATCAGGGATATGGGCCTGAAGTTTTCTGTTTTTGTAGTGTCTCTGTCAGGTTTTGGTGTCAGGATGATGCTGGCCTTATAAAATGAGTTAGGGAGGAGTTCCTCCTTTTCAATGGTTTGGAATTGTTTCAGAAGGAATGGTACCAACTCCTCTTTGTCCCACTGATAGAATTTGGCTGTGAATCCATCTGGTCCTTGGCTTTTTTTGATTGGTAGGCTATTTATTACTGCCTTAATTTTAGAACTTGTTATTGGTCTATTCAGGGATTCAATTTCTTCTTGTTTTAGTTCTGGGGGTGTGTATGTGTCCAGGAATATATCCATTTCTTCTAGATTTTCTAGTTTATTTGCATAGAGGTGTTTATAGTATTCTCTAATAGCAGTTTGTATTTCCATGGAGTCAGTGGCAATGTCCTCTTTATCATTTTTATTGTATCTATTTGATTCTTATCTGTTTTATTCTTTATTAGTCTAGCTAATGGTCTATTTATTTTACTTTTTTTTTCCCCCAAAAAACTAGTTCCTGGATTCATTGATTTTTTGGTGGCTCTATCTCCTTCAGTTCTGCTCTGGTCTTCTTGTCTTCTGCTAGCTTTTGGATTTGTTTGCTCTTGCTTCTCTAGTTCTTTTAATTGTGATGTTGGGGTGTCGATTTGAGATCTTCCTAGCTTTCTGATGTGGGCACTTAGTGCTATAAATTTCCCCCTTAACATTGCTTTAACTGCATCCAAGAGATTCTGGTACATTTCAAAGAACTTCTTGATTTCTGCTTTAATTTCATGATTTACCTAGGAGTCATTCAGGAGCAGGTTGTTTAATTTACAAGTAGTTGTGTGATTTTGAATGAGTTTCTTGAGTTCTAATTTGTTTACACTGTGGTCTGAGAGACTGTTTGTTATTATTTCAGTTCTTTTGTATTTGCTGAGGAGTGTTTGTCTTCCAATTATGTGGTCAGTTTTAGAGTAAGTGCCATGTGGCACTAAGAATGTATATTCTGTTGTTTTGGGGTGGAGAGTTCTGTAGATGTCTATTGGGTCCACTTGATCCACAGCTGAGTTCAAGTCCTGAATATCCTTTTTAATTTTCTGTCTTGTTAGTCTGTATAATATTGACAGTGGGGTGTTAGAGTCTCCCAGTATTATTGTGTGGGAGTCTAAGTTTCTTTGTAGGTAACCTAGAACTTATTTTATAAATCTGGGTACTCCTGTATTGGGTGAATATATACACAGGAT